AGGGCAATGGTTCTTATGCTGCCAGCTTCTCAGCTCCTCCTCGTGTGTCCATCTCCTCTGTAGTTTGCCCATCCTGTGCATCTTTCATTGCTGGGAAGGAGGAGACTTAGGTAAAGGACATAAAGGCAAAACTATGTAGGGTAATTCCATAGCTAGGTATATCCACCGAGGTGTGGAACAGGGACTCAAACAAGCACTTGTATGTGTTCATAGCCGTCAGCTGCTGCGTGGATAAACCAAATGTACACAATGCCATAGTATCCTGCCGTAAAAAGGAATGGAGCACTGATACATGCTACAACATGGATGAACCTTGAGCACATGCTTAGTGAAAGAAGACAGGCACAAAAGGCCACATATGGTATGATTTCATTGATTGCCTTGAGTAGGCAAATCCATAGAGACAGAAAGCAGGTGAGTGGTTTCCAGCTTTGGGGGAGGGGAAGAAGGTGAAGGACTGCTTAATGGAATCAGGGTCTCTTTTTGGGGTGGTGAAAATATTTGGAACTTGACACAGGTGATGGTTGCATACCATTTGAATGTATTAAATGCCACTAAAATGTGTACTTTAAAATGGTTAATTTCTTTCTTTTTTTCTTTTGAATTGGGATCTTACTCTGTCACCCAGGCTGGAATTCAGTGGCACAATCATAGCTCACTGCAGCCCAACTTCCTGGGCTCAAGTGATCCTTCCACCTCAGCCTCCCAAGTAGCTGGGACTACTGGTGTACACCACCACACCCAGCTAATTAAAAAAATATTTTTTTATAGAGATAAGTTCTTGCTATGCTGCCCAGACTGGTCTCCAATTCCTGGGTTCGGGCAAAGCCAAAGTGCAGGATTATAGGCCTCCCAAAATGCAGGCTTATAGACGTGAGCCATTGCATCTGACCTAAAATGGTTAATTTCATGCTAAGTGATTTTACCCCAACCAAAAACAAAACAAAACAAAAAACAACTGTGTAGGGGCTGAGGGAATGTCAATTGGGCCTGAGCTGTGATGGCTTTTCTTAGGTAAATGGATTCTGAAGGCAGTGTCAAAATGGGTGTCTTCAAATTGCTAATGCTTTCCTAATAGGAAAAGAATGACATTTCCCAAAATGACTTCTTTCTAGGAATGTAGCTTTTAAAATTTGAAAATGTAGTATTAAAAAGAAGAGTCACTTATTGCTTTAGACCATCATTTCTTATATTCAATTTAAAATCCCTTATAGTGGTTTTAGGAATCTGCAGAGTTGTTCACAAAGCACTGTTGAAAAGTGATGTACAGGATTTGTAATTGAATGGGAACAAGCCGGCTGATTTGCGTTAGGATGAAATTTAGCTGAGAGTGCTATTGAGTTTGGATGACATTTGGCTAGACCTTTGTAACTCTTCAGCTCTGTGAAACAACTGTGTGAAGAATTAAAAGGCAGAAAATTAACTGTATATGACTGGTTCACAGATCCATAGGTCTATTTCCAGTCACAATGAGTGGTGAGATGACAGTGTAGGTGACATGCCAGCTTGACAAGTATGAGTACTGCCTGCTTAGAAACACAGACACCAATAGAGTGGTAACTGGTGTACTTGGACATAGAGAATTAGAAAAAATAGGAAAACAGTAGCAAATCTTTCTGTGTCTGTTTCTTTAAAACTACCCCCTTGATATTTCTGTGCTTTCCCCAAGAACACCCTCGAAGATGCCAGTAAAAATAACTCCTAGGAAATCTTTCTGAATTCCAATATTCATGTGAAAATGTTGTATTTTCTTCTGAAATGTTTCAATAAAATTAAGGCAGGGCAGGCACAGTGGCTCACGCCTGTAATCCCAGCAATTTAGGAGGCTGAGGTGAGAGGATTGTCTGAGCCCAGAGATTCAAGATCAGCCTGGGCAACTTGGTGAGACATCATCTCTACAATAAATCAAGAAAAATTAGCCAGGCATGGTGGTACACGCCTGTAGTTCCAGCCACTTGGAAGGCTAAGGTGGAAGGATCGCCTGAGCCCAGCAGGTCAAGGCTGCGGTGACCGTGAACATGCCTCTGCACTCCAGCGTGGTTGACAGAGTGAGACTCTGACTCAGAATTAAGGGAGACATCAAGAAGAACTCAATGTGGTAGATTTCTGAAATCTACCGTATTAAAGTGTGTTGCCAGCTACTGTGATATTGTGATTGGATTATATACATGGTATCTTTTATTCTTACATTTACTCATTAAGCTAACATTTATTAAGTGTATACTACATGTCAGGCCTGGACTGTAGAAATCAACTTGAGGAAGACAGGATTCTTTCTTCTATTAGGGCAGGAAAGGTGTAATATGTGTTATAAATGATGTGGAAGAAGGATTCACAGAATATGCTGAGGCACACAGAGGTCCTCTCCCAAGGATTATGTAGTCTTCTTAGGGAATAGATGGAACATCAAAAATGCTGTGGTTCAAACAAGAACATGCATTTCTCTCTCATGTAATAGTCCCAAAGGCAGGCAGTAGTCTGAGAAGGGTAGGTGACAGATCCCCAAGGACACTGGGAGATCCAGGTTCTTTCCATTCCTAAAGGTTGGAACTGGCTCTCAGCAACCCACATGATCAGTGTTTTAAAGACAAACCTCAGAAGTAAACTGTCACTTCCCACGTCTCCTTATATCCCGTTGGCAAGAGCTTCATAGTGGGACTCCCGGAGCCTCTTAGCAAGGTCTGCTTATGTGACTAAAAGATAAAGATAAGTGGGCTGGGGAAGGAGGGCTGGTAGACTAGCAGTTTATATAATTAGCAATTATTTTATATTTTATTTGACTGCTATATTTGAGTTTAATTTCTTTCAAGAAATGTGTGTAGCACCACAAGCTCCATGCTAACTTTCTCTGGAAAAATCGGCAAATACTCTGTTGTATCAGTTTAGAGAACCCCTCAAAGACTTTACATCTCCTACATGGGAGCACTATCAGTGTACTTGTACGCCATGTCATGCCAAGAGCTGAAGACTGCTAGAAAATTAGAATCCCTTTTATGTTGATCAAATTTCAGCATTTCCTTTTACAAATAAAGAATGTATTGCATTTGTTTTATTATTGTTACAAATCACTTGAATTTCCCACAAATATTTTGCAGTATGTAGACTTTCTTAACAGCCCTGTTTAGTGATAATGGTTCTGTTTGTGTACTAATACTGTGAAAATCAGTGATGACCAGGTATTGGAAGGTCTCATTTTAATTTATTGTTTCTAGCAATAAACTAATTAGTTTTGACATGTTGCATAACTAGAAGAATGTTATTAACCAAAGTCATAATTCCCATTTTTTGTGTTGATTGCACACAGATGATACGTTAATTACACTTATTGAGTTTAACAACATATATAAAAGATAATCTTCAGTTTCAAGACTCTAATTTGTGAGTTACCATCTGTTTTGGACCAACGAATAGGAATTTGATTTCAAAGCTTTTTTCTGAACAGCTTGTAATAAGAGCTGTTTGTATATTAATTACTTATTGAATTATTATGGATTTTAATGTTTTAATTTACAAGCAATTTGGAACTTATTGTGGTGACATCTGCTCATATTTTGATAGTTTATAGTATTTAGCTATTTCATCATAAGGCTATTTTTTCCCCCCTGGTAATTTACAACCCAGTCCTGAAAATAGTAATTTGCTTTCTGCTTCAATTTACTATAAGGAGTATTGTCCTGTCTCATCTCTACTGAAGATTTTTTTAAAAAAATTAAATATATTTTTACTTTATAAGCAAAATCAATATCCCATGGTGCCTGCTTCATTCTGGTGCCTTTTAATTTCTATTCAAAGAGTTATAGTTGAATTTTGTTTAAATCTCATTATTTTTCTTCAGTGGTAGACTTTTTTTTAACAATTGTCCTGGTAATTACTTTTATCTTGAATATCTTTATGATTTTTGTTTTGCATGTACCATAATGAAACAACATAGAGGCCTGTGAACCTGCCTGTAGAATCCTTTTAGTCTCCTTCCTTTAAACAGCATAACTATAACATGACTCAGTAGGAGTAATTTACTTGCATTTTTTAAAAAACACTTCATGGATTTTCATATAAATTCACTAATAAAAAGCAACTTCACTCGTAGCTTCGCTTGTGGCTTTGAATAATCTTAGACCTGATACCATTTTATTATCATTTAAGACTATTGAGTAAGAATTTAGAGAAAATGGTGGGTGTTTAATTTTCTGAGCTCTTGAGTTTGTAGATGACAGTGGATCGTGTCAACTCTCTAGGAGGCTAGATTCATTCACAGCCAAATAAATCTTACAAGGAAGAAGGTAAATATCCTTAAGTAAATTCTAGCTGGCTGATTAGTGTATAGTGACTGAAAAATAAAAACACTTTTTGATATAAAAGATTATCATTTCTGTTGTAAAAGCCTGGTTTCCTCAAATCAGTGCAAATGGAACCCTTGTGAAACAGAAATGTCTGAGAACAACATTTAAAACTGAGACATATTAGTTGGTGCCTATGTCGTCTTTTATTGTAGGGAAGCCAAAAGAAAAAACGATTCTAGTGTGTTTTTGTGTTGTTACAAGCATGATAGATGAGGGTGGGTATATACATACAAAAATGCATGCCAGGGTTATTGGAAACAGCCCAAGTGATGTGTAAGTGTCCACTAAAGTATGTCTTCTCTTGAGCACGTGCACAGGTTAATTTAGCAGTTGCATAAGGCATGTTCTGAAAACAAAGATACTTCCAGTGAATGCTAATTTATCATTAAATAATAGTAGTAGCAATATCTGAGTTAATGTTAATTTTTTGTTTGAGACTCTTTTCTTTCAGAATTTCTACATGCATAATAATACCAGACTAGCCATTTTCATTTCTCCTTTTCACTTTGCAAACAAAACCCTATAGTCTGTGCTGAGGATTAAGCCAGAAATGGTGAACCGCTAAAATGTATTAAGTTTGAGTTAGGATTAAAGAGAAACCTAAAAGAATGTTAGGAGTGAGAGGTACACGCACCCCAAAGATTTTTAAGTCATCTTTTTTTTTCATATCTTTTCCCTTCTCCCTAGGCTGGTCCCTGCAGACGTCTTGCCATTTCTATGATCGGGTGCTGGGAAGCCCACTGGTCCCAAGGTCTACACATGAAGTCACCATAAAGGTAAACTGCCCCACATGCCCTTTGATACTAATTCTTTTACCTGATAGTTATTTGAGTAACAAAACTGCATTTTGCCAAAACAAAACCCGTTCTGTTTTAAATGATTTTTTTTCGGGAGGGTGTCACAGACCTTTCTCCTTACTGAAAGTGAAGGTAGTAGATAGGGCAACATTAAATCATTATGAGTTGTATAGTCAATTCTAGATGAGGAATTAGCCTTTTACTGCTGTCTTAAGAATTTTGGATCCTGAATGAGCTATAATGAACTTTTCTGGGTCTTTCTAGGCAAGGATGACACCTTCTAAAATTAATCTTTCTTGTCAACATTATGAATTATAATTATGCAGAAAAGTTAATTATAATTGGGCACATGAGTATAGATTTTATTTGGCTCCCGTATCGTAATCCTATGGTTTATTAGTTCTTAATATGATTTGTGTCTATCTGCAAAGTGATTTGCTAGTTAACCTTGAAATTTATTAGAAAATCATGTAGATTACTATTTATAAATTTGGTAGGATGTCTAGAATAGCAAACCAAACAATTGCATACAGAGGTATCAAGAGTTAAAGCTCATATCCAAAACAAAAACTGATACCTACACTCCAAAAGTTCTGTAAAAGTTGCCTTGTTACCTTGTGGTACACGAGATTTTCAAGTTTTATTTACTTGTTATTGGGTTTTCTAGCTCTTTCTTTAATGCTTTTTTAGTAAACATTAAGTAAAATTTTAAAGCATAATGGAAGCCGGGCTCGGTGGCTCAGCCTGTAATCCTGTGCTTTGGGAGGCTGAGGTGAGTGGATTGCCTGAGCCCGCAGGTTCGAAACCCGCCTGGGCAACTTGGCGAGACCTCATCTCTACAATAAATCAAAAAATTAGCCGGGCGTGGTAGCGCACACCTGTAGTTCCAGCTACTTGGAAGGTTGAGGCGGAAGGATCGCTGGAGCCCCGCAGGTCGAGGCTGCGGTGGCCGGGATTGTGCCACTGCACTCCAGTCTGGGCGACAGAGTGAGACTCCAACTCAAAAAATAAATAAATAAATAAAGCATAATGGAAATTAGGGAAAGATTTTTACTTTATTGTTTTAAACAAACCAGCTAGACCTAAAATGATAGACTTCAATTTAACTAACTAGGAACCTTATTGTTTGGGGTACATTTGTTTAAAACCAGATGTATGCAAATTGTTTTAACAAGTTAGACATGCATTTCAATAGTATTTGACTTAAATATTTAAAAGGTGGAGTTTTATGAATGTATAGTTCATCTGTTTATAAAAGTGTAGTTCATCTGTGTGGTAGCTTGTGTTATTTCTCTTTTATGGCAGAATAATAATCTATTGTATGGATAGACCATGGGTAGACCACATTTTATCCAGTTATTAGTTGATGGGCATTTGGATTGTATTTACCTTTTGACTATTATGAATAACGATGTCATGAACATGCATATACAAGTTTTTGTGTGGACATGTTTCATTTCTCTGTGGCATATACACTTAGAAGTGAATTGTTGGGTCATGTGGTAACTCTGTGTTTACTATTTTGAGGAACTGTCAAACTTTTCCAAAGTGACTGCCTTATTAGTCATTATTTTTTAAACTGCCATTGAACCATATTCTAAATGTCAGAAGAAAGATGAGAGAAGGATCTGTTTCTCATCAATGCTTTGAATGGGTATTAATTCAGTACTTTGGGAATATAAGCTTCAATTTAATGGACTTGAGCACACATTGATTGAATTCCTACTGTGCGTGTCTGTGTTTGACTTCATAAGTGACTGTTCTTGGATCTCGGTCTTAAAGGAGTTGGTATGTTTATGAGGAATGTTCACATTGGGGGTTTTGCTGTTCCACTTGACAGGCAGGAAGATCTCAAGCTGAGAAGGGACGAGGCAGCTGTTCTCTGATGTAGAAATGGGGATATATACAGGAAAGCAGGAAAGACCAAGAGCAGGGTCAGCAGGGATTTTCTGTGATGGGCCAGGTAGTAGAGAGCTTAGGCTTTGTGGGCCAGACAGTCCATGCTGCATCTGCTCAACTGGGCCATTTCAGTGTGGAAAGCAGCATAGACCATATGGAAATGAACGAGCATGACTGAGTGCCAATAAAACTTTATGTATAGATACTGATATTGGGTTGCAGTTAGCTGACCCTGACCCGACCCAGAGGACCACAACTGTTTCTTTTCAGCTGTTTTAACTGTGGCCTTTTGAGTTGGAAGCAACCTGGAGATGGGCTTCAAGAGGCCCACACGAAGGCCATGATGTGGTTAAGACAGAACCCAAATTGTGGTTACCTAGTAAAGGCATTGCAGATATTCAGGGAGTTGGGACTTTTACACAAGGAATTTGAGGGCCTTTCTGCCATGAAACAGGGAGTGGCTCTGGGTCTATGTAACTGCCCTAACTTGGGTACTCATGCTGGGGGAATCCCCACCCCTGAGATACTTGGGACTGTATGGAGACATTTCTGGTTGTCATAACTGGGGAGGGGTATGACTGGCATCTAGTGGTTAGAGACCCGGGATGCCACTCAATACCATACAGTACACAGGACATCCCCCATGGCAGGGAATGATTCGGCCCCAGATATTCATTGGGAGGAGATTGAGGAATTCTGCTGGCTGCTTCTACTGTCAGTATTTTATTTTGCACTTGAAATGTTCTCAGCCATGTGGCTATGGAATTTTAAGCTGCTGAGTTTTTAATTATAAAAGTTTAGTGCCTGTGTTTGCTGACATAAACTTGAGGATGGTTGGACTCCCAAATAACATTTGGGTTTTCCATGCTTTTAGTTTTTTCCTTCTAAGAAAACGTTTTTGTGATTCATTTAAATGGATGTATCAAAAATTGATAATAACACCAAGGTTTATTGAGATCCAGGCCACCTTGGGGGATGTGGCACTGCTTGCCTTTATATGTACAGCAAAAGCTGCAGGGTTTATTTTTTACAACTTGACAGTTCTCATTGTGTGAGTAGGTGACCTCGCTTATGATTCCACCATTCGCAGGAAAGAGATTTGTCATGGCCAAAAGTGCATCCTTCATATTTAGGCAAAATATCACAGTGTCTTAGAGATTTCATAATGAGACTGTTGATATTCCTGAAATTTGTCTGAGAACCTAGTGTACATTGTGTAGAAACCGTGTTCAACCTCTCTGTCTTAAAGATAATTAAACTCTGCAAGTGAATTTCTGACTAGAAAGTAGGTCATAATTGATGTAGACATCAGAAGTGTTAGCATAAAGACTAAAGACATTAGAAAAGCAGGATGAACTCCTCTTACATGGAAGCAGTAGCTGTCAGTGTCTCCCGAGACAGTCTGCTTTGAAATCTTCAGTCCATGAACTTGCGTTTGACTTTGTAGAGAGGAGGAGGGTATGAAAGGAGGATTGTATTCTTTGTCTCATGTGCATATCTGTCTCATGTGCTTGGACTTTCCTAGTAGTGGTTTGCTGTTGCTAGGTTGAGCATTTTCAAGAGGGCTTCCTTCGGAGCCTGCCTAGGATCCTATTCCTGTCACCACAGCATCTGCCATTGATGTGCACGTGAGATTTGAATGAAAGCCTTAGCCAGCCACTATTTTACCCAGAAGGGCTGCCTGCACAGCAAGGGCCCTTTCTGAATGCCTTACTGTGGGGGTGTTTTTATTCTGTGAAGAGCAGTATTTTGTGTCTAACACAAAGCCCCTCCTTTCTTCCCTTTCAACCCTATAGCCTCATTTCCTACTTAGTTGTTCTCATACTAATTGTTTCTGTAAACGTTGCTAGGTTTTAATTAAATTTTAATAAATGCAAAAAGAGTTCATATGTACTTAGTAAAAAATATGCAAAATCTGGGGAGGCACACACATACACAGATGTAAGTGCAGCGTAATCCCACTCCTGAGATTGGCGTGAGTATACTTTGGAAGTATCGTTCACGTGTTTGTGTGTATGTGTGTATGTGTATGTGTGTATGTACAAAACAGAATTTAGCAGCATGTACATCCCATCGGGAAACTTGTTTTCCCACAGCATTCTGTGTGTTCTTCCCTGGTGTGAGATGTTTTTTTACTGGCTGTGTCTTACTCCACTGCTAGATTCCCATATTCACACAGAGGGGTTGCTGCTCAGCCTCTGGTCTCTGGTGAGAAAGACATGGTTCTTTGGTTATATTTGCCATTTTGGACCATTTTATTCCAAGTAAATAAATAGAACCCCAACATGAATGGGAACTCTTTTCCTTGGGGGGAGTTTTTTCTTACTGTAAAATAATATGTCTATGGCCATTGGCAAATGGAGACATGTAAATGAAAGAATGCACGAAACATAAAATATTTCCATGTATTTCTCCCTGAACTTTTTCTTTGTGTGTATTTTCCCACAACTGAGATCAGACCATAGCCCACATTGGCCTTTTCAGTTTTGTTGTCATCCCCTCCCACTCAATTTGGAATACCACCATAAATATCTTCTATCACCTTGCTTTAAAAATTTAACTTAAACCATAAGAGCATAGCATTTAATGTCAGATGGTGCAACTTTGGATCCTAGCTTCTCTGGGACTGAAGTTGGCTATCTTCTCTAAGCCTTCATTTCTTAACCTATAAAATGGTTATGATAAGAATAATGGTCATATTTCTCCCTCAGAACTGTGATGGGTGAGATAAATCATATCAAGCATCTAGCTAACATACCATGTATGCAATATGGTATATGCTTTCCAAAGTCATTTTAATGGTGATCTGATACTTCCTATATGTGTTTACCACTATTTATTTAATCATGCTGTCACTGGACAATAAAATGTGTCAGACCTGGCACATTGGTTCATGCTTGTAATCCCAGCACTTTGGGAGGCCGAGGCAGGAGGATTGCTTGAGCCCAGGCAATCGAGACTAGCTTGGGCAACATAGCAAGACCCTGTCTCTACAAAACAATTAAAAATAGCTGGCATGGTAGAGTGCACCAGTATTCCCAGCTACTCAGAAGGCTGAGGCAGAAGACTCACCTGAGTCC